ACAGCCCTGTGGCACCCCGCCACGGGCCTTTGTCTTATCAGCAGGCCGTGACTTCCCAGGCTTGCCGCGATCTCAATAGAACAGGTCTTTAGCTGTGAGCTCTTGATGTGGAGCCAGTACCGCCTGTTGACCTCCTGGATTTCACCGTATTGAAATGCTCACACATTTATTTTAGCCTCTAAACTTACTTCATTTTGGGAAATGGGGTGGAACCTCGTGCCCCAGCAGAGCAAACCCCGTAAATCAGACGTTCGAGCTGAGCGATCCTTCTGGTTTGGGCAGTAGTCACGGTGCTCTCTATTCCCCTGGCCTTGTCAGCGCAGCTCAGAAACTCATCCTCCGCGTAGAAATTACGCCACGTTAAACGCGCGTAAATACACCGAGCTGATTATGGCGGCCCGGCGTCCTGTGTGACAAGGCCGAGATCCGTTCCTCAGGGACAGCAAAACAGCTCTGCCACTCGAAAGGTTATGAGGCTCTTTCTTTTAAAGTTTTGCTCCATGGATGGCTGAGAGTCATTTCATTCTTTCCCTGCGTCCGGTCAGGAGGAGCTGCTGCTCTCCGTGGAGCTGTTAGCCTTTGCCATGTTTCACCCCGGGCAGGACGTCAGCATCGATCCAATTTGTAGTCCCGAGAAACTTGGAGATTGAACGTGGAGTTCATGACCTCCTGGGAAGGGCCAGGCCTGGCGTTTCAAGGCCTTTGCTCGCGTGACACGCCAGAAATAGCGCAGCCCTCGCGTTAAGGTCCGGAGAGCCCTCTGCTCACCTCGCCTGTGGATGTCGGGAAAGATTGCCCAGCGGCGTCTCCCCCCGCGGTCGGGGCCGATGATGTTTTTATTCTCATTTAGATATTATTTGGGTCCTATTTTAACTCCACTGAGCTGTGAGATGTTCACATGAAGTACAACTGAATTTATTTCTGGAAGAACTGCTCTGTTAAGACCTTCATGGCTGATGAATTTAATTATTCCGAAAAATTACAGCTTCTGCGAAGAAACCAGCCCTCTGGGCGCAGATGGAAGTTGGAAAATTCATAGAAAGCTCTCCTTTCCCGGCAGAGGCCGGGCAGCTCATCAGCAGAGGTGTCTGGGGGCTCCGGCACCCCCGACCCCGGCCGCGGGGCGGAGCTGGCGGTGGGGTTGCAGGGACGTGCGCCTTCCTCCCCTTGTCCCCCGCCCCGCGGCTCTACAGCCCACTTGGGCTCTTCGAGTGGGATCCGTCGTAACTGGCAGTGGGCGGGGCTTGAAAGGGCCGGTCACGTGGCCCAGATTGAGGCAGCGTTCCTGCCATTCTCAAGTTCTCCTTTTAGACGAGCGGCTGACGAAGAAAGGCCGTTTTTGTTGGCTTTTCTCTTTGATCCTGGTTCAGACGAGGCCCTCTGAAGTTTGTCCCCTGCTCTTTTGTTCTCGTGAAACCCAGGAAGTGCACATACGGTGTAGAAAGTCCCCACGGGTGGCAGAGAGTCTCTGCTGTGCCGAAACGACGCACTTACAGAAATGTCAGAAATGGAGTCCATGTTGTCTGGCCGCCCGGGCCCGCGACTCGGTCTCCCCGAGGCCCCTGCGTCCTCACCAGGCCACCTGTAGGTGATCCCCCGCTAGCTGCTCGCGCCCCATCTTTGCAGAGGGCGTGTCACGGCCCCTCGTCCTGCCCCGGTCCCCCTCGTGGAGCCAGAAACCGACAAGCCTTTGTGTTCTCAGATGAATTCTTTCCCTTAAGGTAACCTTGTACTTGAAACCAGCCTGGTTTCAAAGTTGTTTTCCTAATAACGGCAAAAGAAAAAAGCTGCCTCCAAATCCTTTTTTGGAAAGAACCTGGGTATAAAAAATTAAACAAATACATAAATGAAACCCTCCAAAGAAAAAGATTTAAAAAAATCAAAGATGGAACCTTTGTGTTTGGCCTGGGGTATAAATGGCAGGCTTTTTATGAGATGCTTTTAACGTTCAATTCTCCTTCCTCCTTTTTATGTTCTTATAATTCTAAATCAGAGCGGTGGTTCGTTTTTTTTTTTTTTTTAAACCTTGCCCAGTCTTTGGGTGGAGTAAGGGAAAGAGAGTGGGCTTTGGAAGCTTGTGTTCATCCCTCAACACACCGGAAAGTTGGCGTTCACTGAGGGTCACGCGTGCCCATGACTGTTCCGAGTGCTCATCTCATGGAAACTTTGGGTCACTCCAAGGTGTATCGGGCCCCATTTCACAGGTGGAAGCATGCACGGCTCGCCAGTGGCTGAGCTGGGATTTGAAACCCAGATTCTAAGTCCTTCCTTGTGCTGTTCTTCAATCATAAAGACCTACTATGTGCAGGAGCTGAGTTATCACTGGTTTGGGGGGAGGTCTAGGAAAGAGATAGTTACAGGGCTGAGTGACTTGAGCTGGGCAGAGGGAATCCTGGACTGGGAGGGGAGTGCCCAGCAGGGCTTCCTGGAGGAGGTGGCCAGTAGGCTGAGGCTTGAAGATGGGTAGGATTTAGCAGGGTGCAGTGAGATATGCAAGATCAGGTGTCCCTACTCCAGGGCTCACTGGTGGTGTAGGTCAGGTGGCTTTACATCTAACAGAGCAGGCCCAGCTAGGACCCAGCCACTCCCACGTGGACTTGCTAGGACAATAAATGAATGGATGGCATGGGAGGTGCCCTGCACATAGTAGGTGGTCAGGAAACGTTGGTGACCCTCTCCCCCTTTCCCTCTGACAGTCGGGATATGGGTTGGATGTATGCTACAATTGAAGTTTGCAAACTGGTGACCTCTGGCTGGCCCACAGAACTTGAGTTATTTGCTCACATTTATAAATTGGGAGATTCCACACAAAACCTCACATTTCCGGCTCTTCTTGAAACCTCAGAAGATCTGGCGAGTGTGGCCGGCACTTCCCACTCTGCCGTCTTGAGCTGAGCGAGGAGTGGCATCCCCAGAGACAGAGTGGCAAGGGTGCTCGTCCCGGCAGATGCCGTCCCTGTCTCTCTCTCCTCGCTTGGCTCCTGAGCTGCCCACCGGCCGCGGAGCTGGCACTGCAAGGTGAACTCGGCCGCGGTGGGAGCGTGTTGGCGTCGACTCCCTCGCGGCTGGCTGTTGGGTTTTGTGTGGACAAAGGCGTTCATCTCAGAACAACGCAGACACTTAGGAAAACAAGCGAGAGACGGTCTTTCCCCCTTAATCACTGATCTCACGAAATCGAGCCCCAGTCCCTTGGAACGTTCACACCCTCCGCGCACACCGCCACCGCCCGAGGACGCGTGCCAGGCCAGGCCGGCGGATCTCTCTCCGTGACTCAAGACAGCCGGCATTTAGCATCTTTGAAGTGTTTGTCTTTCTGGCAAGTGGACCAGTACTTTAAAAACCAAAACATTCCTGGGATTAACAGAAAGCCACTAAACTGGCACGGTTAGGTCCTCGGGGAGGGAAAAGACGTAGGGGCAAGAGGAGCCCCTCCTCCCGAAAATCAGACGGTCCTGCGAAGACAGCGATCAGGTTGAGACTGGAAGCTCCTCGGCAGAGGGGCTGTGTCTTTGTGAAAGTGGCAGGGCCCAGAAGGGCACCTCCTGAACCTCGGTGCGGTTCAGTATCAGCGGCCACCAGGCCAGGCTTCGGGAACTGCTGGCTCTGATCCGCCACCCACGTGCTTTGCACAGGCTCCCAGAGGCCCTTTCCCTGATTCTTGCCGTCCTTCAAGGCCGGCTCAGTTGCCGTCTCCTCCAGGCAGCCTTCCGTGCTTCTCCCTGGAACGAGGGACCTCACTCTCCTCTCAGTCATTTGTCCCTTCGTTTATTCCTCTCTTGGAGCCCATTGCAGAGCTGCCCTCCCACTCACAGGGCGCACATTCTGGGCCACCTGGGCACTCAGCAGTCTCCCGTATTCCTCCGAACCCCTGTGAGGTGGGTGCCGCTGCCACGCCCACATCCTAGATGGGGAAACTGAGCCTTAGTGAGGTGAAGGGACTTGCCCAAGGCCACACACCAGCAAATGGCAAAGTGAGATTTGGACCACGGCTCTGTGGCCACAGGCCTGTGCACATCCCGCCAGCCGGGCGGTCTGCCAGGCTGCACCCCCTCCTCCTGGACCCTGGGGTCTCTGCTTTGCTCAGGGCATCGTGCATAGCAAGCCCCTTCGGAATTTGTTGTTGCACAGGAGCCTGGGCGGCTTTTGTGAGTGTTTCTCATTTATTAAGGTTGCAAAATCCCTGGCCCTGTTTAGTGTCATCTTTGATGTTCAAGGGCGATGTGGAAATTTCTCTGTTTTTATGTGACCCAATTTCTGTGCTTTGAAAATGCTGTTCCTTTCCTCCTCCCTCTCTGTGTTTGAAATCAGACGAGCAGGGCTGCCTTTCCCCGTCTGCCCAGCTCCCCCTCCGCTCCCCCAGGCCCTCTGCCACGGCTCTGACGTCCAGGTCTGTCCAGTACACCCGCGATGTGCTGAATCTCGGGTCCTTCTGAGTAGAGTCACAGGCTCGTTGTGGTGACTCACCTGCGAGGCTCACCTGTGCCGTGAAGCCCACCTGTGCCCCTTCTGCTTACAGCAAACCTGGGTCTTTTGTTCTCCCTGGGCTGTCAGCACAACCATTGCAGACGGCTGGAAGGGACCTCCCTGGGTCTCTTCTATCCTCTCTACCTGCAGGATGCGGCTCTCCAGGGGAGGGGAGGGCGGCCCCACCTTCTCAGGGCCTGTTGCTGAGGTCCAAGCTTTGCCTTAGCAGCCTTGGGCAGATCTGGAAGCATCTGGAAGCATCCGGAACCTTCGATGTCTTAGTCATGTGTTTCAAAGAGCAGTGAAAACAGACTGGCAGAGCTTGGCTGGCACTGGGAAGTATTTGGTGAGGGGGAAGAGTTGCAGAATGTATTCTTGGTTCAGAGCAGTTTCCCCTGGGCTCTTTCTGGGCAACAAGCCTTTTAGGAATGTTTGTTAAATGCTGAAAAAAACAAGAGTTTATTTCTCTCCACTTCCACAGCCAACATGCGAGGCTGTCTGTGCTAACCTGGGTTTTCTTTCTTTTTGCTCAACAGTGAGTGACCTGCAGGAAGAAGGCAAAAATGCCATCAACTCGCCGATGTCCCCTGCCTTGGTGGACGTTCGCCCTGAAGACACCCAGCTAGGTAACGCCGGTTCCCCGACCCCCGCCACGAGACAGTCGCGCTTCCATGGCTCGAGATGGGTCTCGGTGAGGCTGACAAGGAGCCTGAGGGTTCTGGCCTCCTGACCTGATGCTGGTGGCATCGGGAGTCTGGTTCTTTGCTTCAGGTCACGTTTAGAAAAGTCTGTAGGGAAAGGCAAGTTCTCCCTCGTACGCTTCTGCCCCCGTCTTAGAATGTACGCTTTATTGTTA